AATGTTGGCCTTCCTACTTCTTTTTCGTGTATTTTGTGTAAATTTATTCCTTAGTTGTTTACATCAGCGTTAGCGATTATATAAGTGCTCGAACTTGAGCGCGCCACCACTTTGGTTATATGTGCTGTCTTATTTGAATAAAAACACTTCTCGGAGATATGTTTATTCAATATTTATATCATCTCTCGGCACGGAGTCTCAATTGTGCGCCGTTCCGTCCTGCAGACAAGCCACTTTCAGAAGCCTCATCGTAAGTACAGAATGTTCTTCACATCTCCATATTACTCTACTAACCACTTAAATTAAAGAGAGTCTTTTCAATTTAGATATTTTAGTTTTTGTCGATCTGTAGTGGAAAATTGGTTGTGTAAAATATGTACACTGTGATTTTTCTTTTATAAACGAAACAGAACAAGGATGAGAGCAACTCAAAATTCATTGTGTTTCTCTAAGCTGAAATTCAACAATAATGGTCCAAAATGTGAAGAATGGGTACTTTGATCTTCATATGATAGCACAAATTAACAATCCTAGTTTTAAACATGACTACTGGCAAAAAACTACTCAACAAGGCAATGTTGCAATGGGTAAGTGTTTAGGCGTAATTTTATTTTCACCACACTAAGAAATAATAGAAGATTTATGACTAGATAACCTCAAGTTGGTCCCGAGACAGGTAACAAAACGGTATGTGAGGAAACCGTAAACATATTCAAGTAAAAACAACATGTCAGATACATCCACATATGAGACGTCACGTACTTCAACTAGTTTGGCATACATTGTCTGGTATCAGAAGATGACTCGTGGGCTGCTTCATCTACATAGAAATTGGGTGGTTCTGTCTGCTAACTAATGTCAGAGTTCTTCGCAGCGCTCCATATGGTGTACATGACCATATAGGATTCAGGATACAAGTGTTTAAATGTGCTGCGCTCTGATAACTAAATATCGCACTAGAAAGGCCAATATTTGCTTTGGAGCAAATACAGCGATGGGTTCACCACATTTTACGACGTCATGGCAGGGAAAGAATGAGAAACACAAGGGAAAACAATGATTTACATTGATATAACTATAATATGAAGTAACATACAACTAAAACAACAGTTGGATAGCTATTTCCTACTTTATTGGTTAGGATTTTTAATTGCATAATGCAAACTGTTGATTTTCAAAATAAATAAAAAAACGTTCATGCCCCGCATTCCAATGCTGGAGCAGAAAAGCTTGAAATACCTACCAAAACACTTGAATAAAGACATACTGTCAGTATGGAAATCTCTGTGCAGGTGTTAATCAAGTTAAATCCCAACAGCCAATCAGCAAGAAATGCTCTGTGCAGGTGGAAATGCTCTGTGCTTGTGTTAATCAAGTTAAATCCCAACAGCCAATCAGCAAGAAGTATAGAGGAAAGCTGCATGCCTATTGGTTGATGCCCTGCATTCCATTGTGATGACTCATGCCCAGACGTGGTAAACACGGTACACTAACACAGTAATACATTTGCTATAATACAGACCAAAAAACTCAAATAAAACCATTCTAAAAGCCTGTATCACAATAATTTAAAAAACGCCTAGGGGTATTTGCCCACTGTACCTCCATACCAAATTTCAGGACCTTGGGCCCTAAAATGAAGAAGCTGAATCCATTTAAAAAATGGCAGGAGGAGAAGGAGGAGGAGAAGAAGAAGAAACATCAGAAAAAGCAATATGGTTTCACCACACCACTTCGGAAAAGTAGGAACTTGTTACATACAGTCTCTATCTCATAACTTCAAATGAATCAACTAGAGTTCCACAATCTCATACCTTCGCCAAATGATGTTAGCTTTTATGATTAAGAAATTATATATTAATCCCCCTAATTATGCAAATAAAATTCTCATTTGCATGAATTATATCTGTTGATCATATTCTCCACCAAAAGATAGTCTTATCTTAACAAAGAATGCCATGATGAAATTTTCTCATAAATTATGCAAATGAGGTGCTTATTTGAATAAGTTATGTTTGATTATGTTCACCTTAACTTAACTTTCAAACACCCCAAGTATAAAATTCCAGGCAGTTACCACTATGCAATTATAATATTTTCTCCTTAATTATGCAAATTAAGTCTTCATTTGCATAATCGATATCTGTCTGTGTTTCTCTCATTCTTAATAACATATGTCACAAGCTTGAACTTCCTATTATGGAATGCAGCTGATAAATAGAATTTCCTCATTAATTATGCAAATTACATCCATAATTGCATAATTGTAATATCATTATGTCAAGCATCACTCAAGCTACCTACATACCAAAAATCACGATGATCCATCCATCGGTTCTTGAGTTATCCCCCTTTAAACATTTGTCCATTAAACCCCCCCTGCAGTTCTAGAGCAAGCAACTAGGGGGCTCAAACTCATGTCACTTTATCCCCAGCACAAGAGCTATCTACCATCTAAATTTCGTCACCCTAGCATGTCTGGATCTTGAGATATCAAAACCGGAAGTTCTGCTGCAGTACCATGACAAGCCGCCAGGTGGCCCAAAATCTAATCATTTTGAGGTCTCATCAAGACCTACCCACCTACCAAGTATCAAGACAATCCATCAAGACCTTCTCAAGTTATCGTGTTGACAGACAGACAGACAGACACACACACACACACATACACGAACGCCCCTGAAAACATAACCTTCTTGGCGAAGGTAATAATTCAGCCTGTGTGTGGGTGGGTGGTAGAAAGTATACTTTTATGTCACTTCGTTACATAATAAACAAGAGTTCCGAAATCTCATACTTCCATGAAATATGGGCTTGCTTTGTCATACATTTCAACCTGTCCTCATTGATTATGCAAATGACCTCCACATTAACATAATAAATGCATAGTGGTGTTAACCTTTAAGTACATGTAACTTACATGTAACTTAACAAGTAAGTTACATGTAACTTACTTGTAACTTAACGAGGTATGAAAGTCCCATCATTCACCAATAAGGAGTCACAGAATTTTCACATTAATTATGCAAATTAGGTCATCATTTGCGTAATTGGTATCTGTTGATGTTCCGCCTGCCACTGATTAAATAGATTACATGTATTAAAGTACTATTACATAAAACACTGTAATTATAGAATTTTCTCATTAATTATGCAAATTAAGTCCTCATTTGCATAATTTGCATCTAATTATGTAAAACTCTCTCTCATCTACCTACACACCAAAAATGATGAAAATACGTTGTTCCTATCTGGACTTATTGGCTTTTAAAGATTTCGCCAGAAAGTGCCCTGCAGTTCCAGAACAATCTGCTAGGGGGACTAAATTCACACCACTTTTTCCTGACAGGAAAAGCTATCTGTCACCAAAACGTCAAGACCATAGCATGTTCAGGACAAAAGATACAAAAACCGAAAGTTCTGCTGCAGTACCAAGGTCATCCACCAGGAGGCCCATATTTGACCTTGAACTTTGTCTTCCTAAGACTTACCAACATACTAAATATCATCATAATCCATAAAGGCGTTATGAAGTTATGCTGACTACAAATGTTCGGAAACACAGACAGACAGACACACAGACAGACACGCCAAAAACAATACCTCCACTTTTCATGGAGGTAACAAGAGTTCCACGCGCTCATACCTTCGCCAAAATGATATTAACCCTTCCGGTTGACGAATTATACAACTTTAATCATTGATTTAACAAAGAGCCTCATTTGCATGGATTATATCAGTTGATCATATTCTCCACTCCACTCTATTCTAGCACTTCCTCGTAAATTATGCAAATAAGGTCATGATTTGAATAAATTATGTTTATTGGTGTTCACCTTCACTTAACTTCCAAATGCGGCAAGTATGAAATTCCCAGCAGTTATAAATATGAAATTATAACACTTTCCGATTAATTATGCAGATTAGGTCTTCATATCGTTCTTTATTACCTGTCACAAGTGTTTCATAGTCCTATCATTGATCTAAGCATATTTATAGAATTTCCTAATTAATTATGCAAATTAGCTCCTGATTTGCATGGTTGTCCTCTGATTATGTCAAACATCGCGTTAGCTACCTACATACCAAAAATCACGACAATCCGTCATCCGTTCTTGAGTTATCCTTCCAAGGTTTCTCAACAAACGCTCCTGCAGTTCCATAACAAGCCGCTAGGGGGCCCAAACTCATGTCACTTCTTCCCTAGTCCAAGTGCTATCTACCATCTAAAATTCGTGATCCTAGCATTTGAGATATCAAAACCAGAATTTCTGCTGCAGTACCAACAAAAGCCGCCAGGGGGCCAAAGATCTAACCATTACTAGGTCTCACCAAGACCTACCCACCTACATAGTTTCATGACAATGCATATCAAGCTTCTTGAGTTATGCTGTTCACACAAACAGACGGACAAACGCTACTGAAAACATAACCTTCTTGGCGAAGGTATTTAACCTAATCCTGTAGTATTCCAGAAAAATATTCAGGAAAATTCAGGAAAGGATATGCCACGCCGTTGCTCCATACAACATACTTACAAACTTTGATCTTTCAGTTCAACATATGTTCTGTAAAGTATGATCCTGTGAAGAAATAACAACGTTAAGTTGTTGACAACATAGACTAAATTTATAATATCATCCCACCCTCGTGTGAAAAGATATCACTGTTTCCAAAGAAACCGAACTTGATAACGTGCGGCCCCAATATTAGCACTCCCCCTCCTGACCTCTCACTATACAGTACATTTTGTCAAGACCAGGAAGGTTTTCAATTCACTGTTTTGCACAGTTCACTGTTTACTGGCACTGAAACTTAGGATGCATATATGCTAAAAAGTGGTTGTATTCGTATATGATCGTATATGCCAATCGCATGGATACTTTGTCCTTGCGATTATTTTCTCATTTACACAATGTCTGTTTATAATGATGTGTGCAGGGTCACAGTGTCTTCATCTTATATATTATGCTAGCGTGTCTTGAAGAAGTCTCAGAGCCATGGCTGAAGACCTGACCTCCGACGCCGTATCAAGTGTCGTCAGAAACGAATTCCTCGGCGATAGCATGACTGAACCAGGTACAGAAACTGTTCCACCTACCGTCAGGCAACCTGGCGAAGATGTTAATGGCTACATCTCTGGTACATGGGAGGAAAATGAACACGATGACGAAGAACATCTACATGTATCTATCCAAAGCGATGCTGCTTTTGAGAACAGGGAGACAATTCATATCAGCCCTGGAGATTTTGATACCTACGCCATTGCATATACATGCAAGACATATGATGCCTGTATGAAGAAAAATGCAGAAGAAACGAAAATTAAAGCGTTTCAGGGATCAAACACAGCGTCCAGCAGCCACAATGACAACGACATCCACTTGGCAGGGTGTGGCTCTGTCCAGAATTATACTAATACCTTCAATGGAAACGATGATAACATGCGCACACAAGCCAGGGATCCAAATCCGATGTACACACATGAAAGTGTAAACCCTTATCCAATACACGCTGAAAACAAAGTATTCCCCAATCCAATGTACCTGCAAAGCACCACGGAAGTTTCTAACGCCAGCCATGGATCCGCTTTCAAGCCAAGTGAACCCTATCAGGAAATAGAAAGAGTGTCCAACAGTCGCACACAAGCCATGGATTCAAATCCAATGTGCACACATAACACTACAACCCCTTATCCGTTGCACCCTGAAAACGACGCCAATCCCGATCAAGTGTACACGCACCCACAAGAGCCACCCATGGAGCCTTCCAACGCCAGCCCTGGATCCGCTTTCATGTCAAGTATACCGAGTGATGACGTTCCCTGCACCCTGACATCAGCTGATACACATCAGCAAGATGACGCAAACATGTGCCAGGACAACCTGGAATGCAACGCAGCTTTATCAGATACTCAACCAAAACTACCCTCGCAGGATCTACCATCAGCAGCTCCAAACGACATCAATGATGTCTTGAGCAACCCGTTGAGCAATATTAATGATGTCCTGAATGCCCTGAATCCAAATCCGATATACGTGCCAAACGTCCAGAATAGTGCAGCTTGCGGTAAGAACTTTATAAACTTTTGTATTGTTTCTATTCCCCGACCATCCTTTTGAGTAGACTGTATGGTAACAACTGTTAAACAACAATTCTACAATACTAATCTATCCTATGTTTAGAACAAAAATTATTGTCTTCGTCAGAAGGACTATGAAATTGTCTCGCCGGATTGTGGGTGACTGCGGATTTAGCGGAATAACTCTTGAAGGCATTATTCTACGTCCATGATTTTTTGCAGGCAGATTACCGTTGTTAAGGGGAAAGTCAAGTGCAAGTTTAAGCTTCGCGGGGGGTCAGTACGTCACTGCAGCGGATTTTGTTGTGTTTGTGGCTTGTGAGCAAAATAACTCAAGTACATTTGAATAAATGTTCATGATTTTTGGTAGGCAAGCCGCCATTGTAGAATCCAAGGTCAAGTTCAAAAACGGGCCTCGTGGGGGATCCCAATGTCGCTGCAGTGGACCTTTTGTGTTAGATATATAATGATTTACCCCCACCAATCTCTGCATTGATTCAGATGGCAGACAGCTGTTTTCTGTGATCAATTGTTGGAAAAGTCGGACATGCGTCAAGAAGGTCATTCCCTAAATTGTAACGTCAGACCAAGTAATCTTTATGGATGATGTCCACCGGAGACCATAAATTTATTGCAAAAGCGCCATAAAATACATGAACGGAAGGGCCGAAAAAAACTGATTAAGATGCATCTATTTGGAGCATATTACTAACTGTGGAAATACAAAGGTTAGGACACAAATTGAATAAAGGAACATAGTGTAACAACAAACGAAAACAGCAATAAATCTCCCCCTGTTCTAATTCTTTTCTTTCATCACATCTTCTCATTACATTTGGTGACACTGTCATGACACTCTGATCATAATACAGAAGCAGAATTTTTGATAACATTTTTTCCAGTAACAGTCCAAATCAAATAACTTTGACCTAAAAGGGTGACAGTGCATCTGTAAATCTGTGGCAAACCCTTTCGGGGTGTTCTGTAGAATAAAAAAAGGGAAAAAAAGGAGTACCGAGATTCTTTTGTACTCTAGACCAAATAGATTTCTAGTATTAAAAAATGTTCGTTTATCTATTAGAACAATGTCCCTCTGACGAAGACATGAGATCTCCGACCTCTAGTTGTGGATGGTATGGATGAAATACATTGTTTTTACTCATGGTTCTCATTCTTCTCCTGTCAATTGGTTAACTTCTTCATTTTTATTCCAAATGACCTGAAATGTGGTATGAAGAAATAATTGGCCAATATCAATAGTGTGCGAATGCCAATAGGCATGCAGCATTCTATATGCATGAAATGTTCGTCTTTTTGGATGATGAAATAATGAGGTCATTGCTACATATTGACACCCTGCAACATATTGACAATAGGGCAACTTCATGTGTTTTAGTGCTTATATCAAAATTACTGTACCATTAATTTTGTTTCATCTTGAAAAACAGCAATTTGCATTACATGTTTAAAGCTACAACTTAACCCTACCTAGACCGGGGGGGGG